GAATCCATCTTTCACCGCGGCCACGAGAGGTTCCGCATCGGCAGCGCCTGTCCGGACGAGATCAGCTGCGAGTTCGTCCCAGGGGCCGGGGCCCGTGCCGGCGCCTCCGCCTCCCGGGGGCCGCCGCCGGGACCCGTCCGTATTCACTGCAACATCACGGTGAGGCCCAGGGGGTGCGGCGGGCCCAGGCTCTGCGGGGGCACCGAAGGCGGTCCTGGGACCGAGTGGCTCCTCCTTCGAGCGTACGGGGCCGCCGCCGTTGGGGCTCAGGGTGAGCTGGGCCTGGGCCCCAACGTCCCTGGCGCCGGCTATGGGGTTTGGGGGGTAGCTGCCCCCGTCCCCTTCTTCCGTGGGGGCTGCGGGAGCGCCATACGAGCCACCACGAGCTCCTCGGAGCAGGGGCTCATGCAGAGAAAAACCAGGGGACAGTGCCCGGCAGCACTCCCGCTGTCCCAGTGTACGAGAACTAGCTATTTCCCATGCTGTTTGGAACCCCCAGTCCTCTCCAGCTGCTCATCCCCAGTCATGGAGCCCCTCCGACTGCCCATGTACGAAACTGCCCCCGTTTTCCCGGCTTCCTCCGGTTTTGTTTTGGAGGGTTTCCCAGGCAAGGAGGGTTAGCTTGGATAGCCCCTGATGCAGATTCTGAATGGGACTAATAACCAGGACTTTCTGGAGAGGCATGTTGGGAGTGCTGCCAGAGGCCTGCCCTGCGTGGGTGCTGCCAGATTCTTTTGCAACTGCTGGAACTGCAGCAGCCCATGGCCAACGTGGGACACCCTCAGTGTCCTGTCTCTATGGCCTCCCACCCCCAATGGCCCCATGGCCAGAGGGGTGGCCAGAATACCACTATCCTCCCTCCATGTTCAACCCTGTGCCCAGGGGACACAACACGGCCAGCCCAGCATGGTCTGAGTCGGGGTTTGTATTGCACTTAGCCCCAGGTTTATGCTGGAGGGTGGATCAGTCACTTGTGGCATGATCTCTGTGGTTCAGAGGGATCTGTTTGCAGAAGACACAGGGCTTCAGCCCCTACCATGTGGTGGCTTGCTGCTCTGTGCACTGCAACAGCCTCCATCCCACCAACACCACCTTCTCCCCCTCTCCAGGAGTCTTATCCAGCTGTTCCCCCAATATGGTCTGTGGAGTCAGACGATCCCAACCTGGCAGCTATCCTGGAGAGGCTAGTGGAAGTCAGGAAAGGAAATACGCTGGTGAGATTTGCTCCACTGCCTGAGGGAGGGGAGGGCTGGCAGCTTTGGTAGGGTAACTCCCTGCTTGCATGTCCTCAGCTGCCTGAAGTGGGGATTGCCTCAGGTCTCATAAATGTTCCATATATTTGGGATGAACCTCTCTGATGTTGTTTGATGGTTGGGTGGGATTTTGCACCTGTGTCTACTGCTGCTTGGAGCAGGAAGGAGCAGTGCTGGGGCCTCTGCTTCCTGGCTGCAGTGCCAAGGCTCAGCTCAGCATGGAGGTCCCCACACTTCACTGACCTTCTGTTCTCCGGACAGCTTTTGCAGCACCTGAAGCGAATAATCTCTGACCTGTGCAAACTCTACAACCTCCCCCAACATCCAGATGTTGAAATGCTGGACCAGCCTCTGCCAGCAGAACAGGTGAGCAGCTCAGGAGAAGGCTCACAAAGCTCCGAAAACAAGTTCTCTATATTTGCTCTGGAGGCTTCTAGGGGTTACCAGAGGAGGAACGCAGTGGGTGAGTGGTTGGATTCCTGTCCTGGGTGATGCCAGCCTGCTCTGTTGAGTCTTGGTGCTGTTTTCTATAAAGGTTTTCAGCTACTCTTTGCTTTTAATTTGATTCTGCTTGTATATCCCTGTTTGACCTCACCTAACCATCTGGGAAGGCGGGAGAGCATTTTCCCAGGATGCTGACCGCACAATCTCCATCCCAGTCTTTCTTTTTCCACAGAGCACCCAGGAAGAGGTGTCCTCTGAAGAGGAAGATGAAGAGATGCCAGAGGTAAGTGCCACCTCAGTGTGTGAGAAAATATGCCAGAGAGCTGAGCACAGGAGGGAAGGTGCTGAAAGATGCAAGGGTACAGGGGTCTTGCCTGAGAGAAGCTTGTGGCCTCCAGACAGGGAAGTTTGGGTTAAAGACTGGATACTTCCTGGCATTTTGATGCCAAGGATTCTGAGGCACAGCTGAGTGCCACATATTCACAAACCCCAGGAGAGCATAGAGGCTGAGCAGCATAGCCATGGCCTCCAAAGTCATGTGGATGAGCTATGAGCAGAGCTGCTTGGACAATATGTGCTGTTCTCTAAAGCCTGAAATTTCTGCAAAAGAGATGGATTTCTGGGTTGCTGTTGCTGAGGGGGAAGTCACTGTTGCACAGGACTCCCACAGAGAGGATGAGGTCAGGTGACTTAGTGTGCAAGTGAGCTAATTGCCAGGAGTGGTGGAGACAGCCACACTTCACTGCAGTCTGAGGGCACCTTGCTGCAGAACCCACAGTCTCTGGTTGTTTGGTTTGCAGTTTAGAGATCTGTGGAAGTGGGTGGAATAATCTTGAATCTCCATGGTGACGTTTAGCAATGCCTCACACACGAGAGCAGCACGGGCACTGAGTCAGCAGTGTGCCACGGAGCCTGGGGGCAGGTCACTGAGCAGCAGCAACCCAGCAGCTGGGGAGTTTTAGCAAAGTTAATTGCTTGCTAAATTAAGGCTGAGCATTGCCAGGGTCCACAGGGAAAAAGGGTGAGGGTTAAACTGGCACCAGCACAACCTTGTGAATCTGCAAATCTGCTGTTTCATAGCAAATCAGTGTGTGCAGGGCCTCTATTCCTGTGGGCTGGAAAATAAATCCCCAGGAGCTGAGCATTCCCCCTTGTGCTTTTTGCTAACACCATGTGTTTTGGAGGGAGAACACTCTCATGTAGAGCAAAGGTTTTGTGCTGAGCGGTGGGATTTATTCAGCTGTGTGGAGGAGTGGAGCAGCAGAACTGTGCCCTGGCACAGAGATTCATTATGCAGGTTAATCTACTCGAGGGATTTTCTAGGAGGATCTATTTTCCTGTGTGAGACTAAAAATGTCAAAGCGCTTCCACAACTGCTGCTCAATAGCCATGACCAGCACAGAGAGGCCGTAGTAAACACTTGTTCAGAGGATTTGTGGAGCTGGAACTGGAGCTGTGCATACCCACAGCCATTTCCAGTCAGCTGAACCCTGTGTGCATGGGGAGAGATTTCTGTAGTAGGCCCAGACAGCTGCAACTGTTTTTTCCCATCAGGGTCTTGCATTGCCACATGTTACTGTGGGAAACAGTGAGGGGCAAAGGCTCTTCTGGGGTCAGGTACTACACTTGGAGTGTGCTGAGATGATCTACAGAGAGACATGCTGTGAAATACCTGCTCTTGTTGAGGGAATAACATCCCATGCAGCTGGATTTGGGTGCAAGGGTCTGTTCTTCTTGAGGTGCCGGTGACCTGTGTCCCTGTTGGGGTTTGGCTAGCGAAGAGGCCCAGGTGGCCTGGCAGCACTGTGTCAAGGGGCTGTGCTTTGTTCCAGCCATCCAGCAGCGTGGCACAAACTGCTGAAGTCATAGGTGTGCCAAAATCCATGGGGCATGTTGAGGAGTGAGAGATTAATGATTCATTATAAACAGGCATGGGACATGGCAGGGGAGAATCCAGCTAACAAAGAGCTCACATGAGCCTAATTGAATGTCCAGACCTTGTGTTTTCCGCTCCACTTGTACCTCAGATCAGGAGCTGGGGCTTCCTGGGATGAAAGAGTTGCACCAGGAATTCTTCCTGGGTCAGGGCAGCTCAGAGCAGGGAGGAGCAAAGGCACATCTCTTTGAGCTTTCCTCTTCTCCTTCCAGGACACTGAGGACTTGGACCACTATGAGATGAAAGAGGAAGAGCCGGCAGATGGGAGAAAGACAGAGGATGAAGGCATTGGGAAAGAAAACCTGGCCATTTTAGAGAAAATAAAAAAGAACCAGAGGCAAGATTACTTAAATGTACGTGTCACCCAGTGGGCAGGTGGGCTGGGGAAGCAGAGGGACTCAAGGGCAGGAATGATGGAGGCCCTTGCCAGCCCTCCAGCCCTGAATCAGACGGGCTGTCCCCAGCCAAAGGTACAGCAGTACCAGTTCTCTAGGGCTGATGGGGCTGAAGCAGAGAAGTCTGTGAACTGCCTCTGCAGCTCAGGGAGTGCCCCCAGGGCATTGGTGCCTTATGGGACAGTCCTGCGGCAAGATCTGGGGCTCCCTTCTGCTCCAGGAGCTGTGCCCCCATGATCACCTGAGGCTGTGGAGGTGGGTTGTGCTTTTGTACCCCTGGGCTGAGATTCTTAAGTCAGTGGAGAGGAATGCAGAGGTGTTTGCTGCAGCTGTGCTGCCTGAGGTGACATATTTGAGGCAAGGGACAGATTGAGAGGTGATGGGCAGGATATGGTCTGGTATGGAGGCTGTTCTGAGTTGTAGCTCAGGTGTTGACCTCATAGAGCAATAGCCATGGTTGGGTGCAGCATAACAATACAACTTTCCCCCTCCCTGTTCCTTGCAGGGTGCAGTGTCTGGGTCTGTTCAGGCCACTGACCGGCTAATGAAGGAGCTCAGGGATATTTACCGATCACCAAGTTTCAAGGGCGGTGAGTGCTGCCAGGAGCTCCATGGAGGAAGATTCTTTCTTGTTCTGTGGGGTACCCAGTGGGCCTTGAAGCTGTGCCACTAAGCTGAGGGGGAGGATCTCCAGCATTTGACGGCTGTGGCTCTGTCAAGAGTGAACAAAACCACCTTACCCTCTCTGTTCCCTGCCACTGCTGGGTAGAAGTGAAGACCATGCTATGTGTCAGAGAATTACCTGACTTTGAGGGGAATGGTGTTCCTACTCCTTTCCTGAGCCCAGGGACTCAGAGAAAGAAACTGCTGTCTTCATGACTGTTGTGGATAAGCACTGCTTTTCTTGGAGGGACAGTGCCCAAGTAAAGTTGTGCTGCAGGACCCAGGGGATTGGAAATCTGGGTGATGGCTCAACCCCCTCCCAGTGTTCCCCTACCATGACCCCCCCTCCTCTGTTCTTGCAGGATACTATGCAGTTGAACTAGTGAATGACAGCCTGTACGATTGGAACGTCAAACTCCTGAAGTAGGTAGCCCAGCTTGGGATCATGTATTTGTGGTGGGTTTTGGTGATGGGACCAGAAAGTCCCTGTGAGCAGAGAGGACATTTGCATGGCAGGGGAGCACCAAGCAGACCTTGAGTTAGCCTCTCTCAGGCAGCTGGCTTGCTGTCTCCACAAGAAAGAGGAGATGATATCTCCAGACAAGATGAGGTAATCGGAGGACTTTGCAAGTCTCTGCTGTTCCTAGAGTCCGGTGAGAGGTGCAGCAGGCAAACCCCAAGCTTGCACACCCTCCAGACACCAGTGCTGCCTTTTCCTTGGGCCAGGCAGCCTTTATTTTTAAGCTGGCAGCATGGAAAGGGGGTGTGATGGTCTTCTCTGCAAACCGGAAGCAGAATGCTGGCAGCCCATGCTGTCGCTGCCCTCAGTGAGAGCCTGGGGGCCCATGTGACTGCCCAGCTGTGCAGGTATGGCAGCTCTGGAGTGTGGTGGCAGTGAGCACGGCTGACATGAGGTGCATGGCCCTGACTGATCTTCCGGGGTTTTCCTGTCACAGGGTTGATGAGGACAGCGCTTTGCACAACGATCTCCAAATCCTCAAAGAGAAAGAAGGAACAGATTTCATCCTCCTCAACTTCTCTTTTAAAGTAAGGCTCGCCCTCCTAGAGAGATGCCTGACTCGGCGAGGCATCAGAGAACACCTTTCTCAGTGGCTCTGCTTCCCTTCTCATTCCAGGATAACTTTCCTTTTGATCCACCATTTGTAAGGGTTGTATCCCCGGTGCTGTCAGGGGGGTGAGTAACTATCTGTCGCTCTCTGCTCTGCAGTGCTGCTTTCTGCAGCAGTTCTCATTGGGTTTATCCAGTGCTGTGCAATCCTGTGACTTCCTTGACATGGATTTGCCATTGGGAAGCAGACACCGATGGTGGAGTTTTTAGCATACTTTTTACATCAGAGAAGATGTTTTACCTCTGGAGCAGTGGGTGGGTATGATCACATCTATCTGTGCAATAACTTTGTCTGATTCCTTCCTAGGTATGTTTTGGGTGGCGGTGCCATCTGCATGGAGCTGCTTACGAAACAGGTGGGTGGGTGCTGGCCCCTGTGGGAAGTGGGGGAGCTGTTCTGCCTACCACACTCTGTATTCCTGACAGTTCCAGCCATACCACTGCCTGACAGAGCTGGGGAAGGCCCTTTGGTTGCACTGGGAGCACAGTCTCTGGGGTGAGTCTGCCTCACCATGTGTTTCATCCCTCAGGGCTGGAGTAGTGCCTACTCCATCGAGTCAGTGATCATGCAGATCAGTGCAACGCTGGTGAAAGGGAAAGCGCGAGTACAATTTGGAGCCAACAAGGTAGGGCCTGGACAGTGTAGGATAATGGGGGGTGGAAGTGGGGTGGCAGATGGGGGCACAGCCAGCTCTGGCCATACAGGGAAGGTGTGACGGATGGTTTCCCCAGGGTTCCTGCTGGACTGATGGTCTCCTTGCTTCCCTTGCAGAACCAGTACAGCCTGACAAGAGCACAGCAGTCCTACAAGTCCCTGGTTCAGATCCATGAGAAGAATGGTAAGGGCTGAGGGAGAGGCCCTGTATTTTCCTTCGCTTGTTTGGGCTCCCCAAACAATCCATTCAAGTTCTCTTCTGCCTCGAGTGTGGAGGTGACAGCAGCAGTGGCAGTTGCTGTAACGCAGAGTGCCTGCAGAGTCCTGCTGCCCTCTCTGCTGCCTAGTGCTGGGCTCCGGTGGCTGTAACTAGAGGCAGCATCTCAGTGATTGCATGGACTTGATGATCTGAGAGGCCTTTTCCAACCTAAATGATTCTGTGTTTGCCTGTGTGGTGTTGGGAAATAAGCCAGAGGGAAAGCATCCCAGTAATTGGGGCTATCTGGCCCTTTGGAAGTGGAACTTGGCTGCTTTCAGCAGCTTTTCTGGGTGCAGACTCTCATTGCCCATGCAGTTTCCTCCCTCACAGATCTCTCCTTGTTTCAGGCTGGTATACACCACCCAAGGAGGATGGCTAGTGTGGATGCTGCAGGACCAATCTGAATATCTTCTGGATGCTCTGCTTGGATCTTAGTGATGCCTCTTGGCTTTCTCCCAGGATGTAATAGCTCTGCCTGTTGCAGGACAATACTGGCTGTTCAAAACTCTAAATAACCGTTTAAGGAGTTGGACTGACCCAGAACACTTGCTGGGCCCATGCTAGCAGGCATTCTTGTTAAAACAAACTCTTGAGCCTCTTGTATTGCTGGAAACTTTTGATTTTACTCCAGTCTAGAGCATCCTCCTTACCTATGCTATGGATTTAATTTATTTTCTTATTTCATGTACACTGCTTTTTTTTGTTACGGTGTATGATGGATGTGTATGGAAAAATGTATCTTTGGAGAAAAATTACAGTTTGTTAATTTGAGATTGCTGGTCTAACTATTTTTTTTCCAAGCTCCTGCTGGGTGGTTTGTGCCCTGCAAACCCTGCTGCAGCCCTGGTCGCAGGGTGGGGTGGTCATTGGAGCTGTGGTGTGCCCAAGCCCTGCAGGAAGACTTGGTGCAACTACCTTGGAAGAAGAAAAGCCCTTTTCTTTTTTGACAGTAAGAGAGCAGTGTTTCTGCTCCATCTTCCCTGGGCAAGCCCAGCTTTTCTCTATAAACTGCAGACTTACAACTCAAAACACAGAGGGGAAAATCTGTGAGGTTGTCCTCTCCCCTGCAGTGGAGGAGGGTTTTGTGGGTGTGTGCCAGCACTGCCAGCTCCCACCCCACACTTCTCCCTGTCTGTTTGCCAAGCAGTAAGATGAACTGAGGCCTAAGCTTTGTCCTGTTTCTCCCCACTAGCCATGCATGGAGGCTGAGCCCCTTGTCCCCATCCCTGCTGTGCTGTGGCTGTAAGCTGCTGCAGGGAGTGGAGCGTGGGCACTGCTCTGTCCTACCACTTCTCCCATTCCTGACCAGGACCTGTTCCAGCAGTGAACACCCCGTTCTATGGGGTTTTATTTTACTTTCCTTAAGCTACTGTTCCTGCTCACCTTTGTACTCCAGCCCTTCATGGATGGGGTTGCTGCAGTTGTGGCCTGTTGTCTTGAATCCCCATGGCCCCGTTTTGAGTCTGCTGGAAGGAGATTTAGCTGTTGGAGCTCTTCTAACTTGGGCCATTGTCCTCGTCTGGAGGACAGAACTGACGCACTAGTATCAAAGATGGAACCATGCGTATTAATTCACTGTGTTTGAATAAAAGTCATTAGAAAATCAAAGAGCCTCAGAACTCCGTTATCTACTTCAGCAGCTGCTTCCCTGTCCTGCTCAGAGCCTTGGAATAAAAAGATGCTGTTAGGAGAGGGATTACTGACAACTGCAGGAGTGGCTTTGGCCTCAGCTTGGAGGCTATTTTTAAGTGCTTTGCTGAAGGACCAGAGGGTTGATGAAGCTGAGCGGCTCTGTCCTGTGTCCTCTGGCCCAGACCAGCACCTCTCAGGGTTCTGGGTCCTCTCCAACCCTTGTTCCTGGTACCTGGGGCTGAGGGGGGACAGAGGCAGCTTTACTCAGCTCCCACCTTTAGCTCAGGAATATCTAGGTAGCAGGTTTAATCAGTTTAATGAAGGTTTGAAACACTTGTGGAGCTTTCTCTTTGGTGAAGTAGAGGCTGCTCTGCTGAACCCAGCAATGGGGTTGTGTTGGGATTGGGAACACTAGGTTGGCAGAGTTCATGGCACACACTCCAAAGTCATGGCAGCTCTACAGGCTGGGATGAGCAGAATCTGTCACTTGAATGCTGACCTGACAAGCGTTGAGACTGAAAGAAAAGCAGGAGCAGGTATCTAGCAGGCCATCTGCCAGTCCTGTCTGTTCACACCTGCCCAAAGACCCATCCCACTCTGAGCTGGGCTTGGCCTTCATTGCCACCAGGCTAGCTCAGGGAAGCCTGTCTTCTCAGGGAAGCAGATGTGCAGTGCCATCTGTCACCACTGCCAAAGGCACTCCCAAAGCCCCCTGTGGGAGCTGGCAGAGAACAAGGACGGGAAGACTGTCCAAAGGGGACGTGTGGCACATTTGCTCAAACACCACTACAACACAATGTGACTGAGACAGTGCTGCCTGCATGTCTGTCCTATTGAGGCCCCATAAAAATTGAGGGGACTGAAGTCTGCCTTCTGAAGGAAAGAAAAGGAACCAGCACCTGAGTGCTGGGAGCAATTTTGCCACCCTCTCCTCTTTCTGTGCAGTTGCAAAGGGGAGTTGTTGTAAGGGGCCCCCAGAACTGCAGCCTGACAGGCAGCCAAACCACTGGGCTCTGCTTTTCCAGCAATGTGTCAGCAGGGCCAGACATAGAACTTGGCTGGTGTGGTGTGAACCACGGCCGTGGCAGCAGCGTGCACTGGCTGCCCACAGTGCTTCTGTCCTGTCAGGCTGTGCACAGGGTGCTATGCACGAGGTCCTTGTAAAGGTGTCTGTGCACAGGAGGCTAGCAGGGCTGCGCACAGTCTCCATCCATAGGGAAGCATAGAGTCTCTGCCCAGGCTCAGTCCTTGGGGTCCATGCCCAGTGTCTATGGAGGGGGCCCACGCACGTAGGTCTGTGATGTCCTTGGAGTCTCTGCCCGGGGACTCGTACAGTCCATCCGCGGGATTCATGTGCACGATGGTCCCATCAGCCAGGCAGAGTCACGACGTCTCTCATCCACACCAGGACGGGACCCCAGCTGGAGCTTCCACGTCTTCCCACGCGCCCGCCGG